CCACTGAGTTTGATGCTTTTTAAGGGTAGAAATAAAATTTTGTGATTTTGTAGAAAAAATTTCGGCAGCGTTTCGCCTCCCCCCGTTGGGATCGGGTTCGGGACTATTGTCCCTAGGCAAACACTTCCTTCCTAGAACTAAAATCAAAAAGAGGAAGCCCGTTGAAAAATTAAATTTCTCGTGTATTTTTAATTAATTCTTCTAATCGCTTTTAATATATATATATATATATATATATATATAAAAAAAATTAATAATTTAGTTTAGGAATTCTCTTGAAGTCCCGACAATGCTTTGGCTCCCCCCCTGTTGGAGTATGGTTTGGCCGAAGACCTCCAAAAGTACCCGCCACAGGAGTTCAGCAAAAGGGATAAAATAACAAAGAGAAATATAATTTTTAGAGTATTTTCTTAAATTTATTTAAGATTTAATTTCATAAAATTTAACAATTTTCCAAAAAAATTTCGGCAGCACTTCGTCTCCCCCCATGGGGATGGGGTGTGGCCGAAGGCCTCAAAAACGCCCGCAGCAAAGTATAGTAAAAGGGAAGTTTTCCAAAAAGAAATATAAAATTTTCGGGTATTTTYCTTAATTATTCAAAATTTAATTATATTAAATATAGCAAATAGCCGAGAAATTTTGGTAGCACTTCGCCTCCCCCTTTGGGGATGGGGTGCGGCCGAAGGCCTCCCAAATCACAAAATCGAAATAAAGCCAGTTCCCCTTTCTTGAAGAATTTTTATATTTTTACTTCGATTTCTTTATTGAATTTAAACGACAAATTATTACTTTAAGCAAAATTAGATTATTTTATACAACAAAATTTCCAATATTGATTAATTTCTATTTGATCGAGGGGATTTATACAGAATTTTTCCCCTCGCCGGTCAGTTAGAAGGACTTATATCCGCCCGGCGACGCACCGCGTTTCCCTATCTTAGGGTTAGGGTTTATCCTAATTAGGGTTTTGCTGATTTGCGCGCGACTGCCCGCCACCTCGTCCGACTTCTCGAGGCTGAAACTTTTCCGCCAGTTCGTAGTCGAATGAAAGTTGGGTTCCAACGGATCACCTTTGTAAACTTCCTTTCCCTCTTTATTTTACAAAATTACAAAGGAAATTTACTAATTCTCCCTAATTGCCCGCTACTTTCCCGTCTGTTGGCGGTCACCACTCGTCAAAACGGAGTCCGTTTTCCCCGACTAGCATCTCAAAACGTCGGGAAAAATACGGCGACCAACTTTGGGCTGGGCAGTGATCTCCTAATTTCGCTTAATTTCTTAGTTATAAAAATAAAAAGGAATTCTTAATTTTCGAAATTTTTAATTAAAAAATACAAAAAAATTCCATATCTCTTTTTCTAGCCATTAGAATTTCTCAAGAAACGTCTCAAAACGTTTGCCTCAACGAGAGGTCGAACTTTGCTCCCAGTGCGCCTCGCGTAAAAACGCGCGGATCGGGAGATATTAAAAAAAACGAATCAAATATTTGAACTCCTGATTTTAGGGGTTTTTAATTAAAAAATACAAAAAATTTCATTTCTCTTTTTCTAGCCGTTAGAATTTCTCAAGAAACGTCTCAAAACGTTCGCCTCGACGAGAGGTCGAACTTTGCTCCCGGTGCGCCTCGCGTAAAAACGCGCGGATCGGGAGATATTTCAAAAAAACTATTTCAAAATNTCTCTCTCTCTCTCTCTCTCTCTCTCTCTCTCTCTCTCTCTCTCTCTCTCTCTCTCTCTCTCTCTCTGCCTTCACGTGCAGGCAACTCCGCGTTTTGCGACGAATTCGTCGTCGACTGAAGAACGCCCACCAACGACTGCGCTGCCCAGCGAAGCCGAGACTGCCCACGTATATATACGCAGGCACCGGCCACAGACACACGTGCACAACGGGCAAGACGGGTGCCGACTGTCGTTTCCTCGTCCCGACATCCACGACGGGTGTCCCATCACTTGTCCGGTCACCATCAAGTGGTGTGTCCGCAAATATGTACACATCGGTTGATGGTGACAGGACAAGGGAGGGGACGGCCGTTGTGGACGTCGGGGGTGGGAAACGACAGCCGGTACCCATCTTTATATATATATCGTCACAAATAGAACAAATATATATATATTTTACCGCGAAGAGGGGTCTGTATCCCCCCTATCGTATGCAGCTCTGTTCCCCCCACCTCCACGCCTTGCGAGAACCCCCACAAGCATCTCAAGGACAGTGTTCCCGCCACGCATGGCATCCTCCATGTCACCGATCTTCGCCGCAATCGTCGAGCCTGCCTCCGACGTCGCCCTCGCCAGAGTTGCAGCGGCCTTATCCAAACCCTCGCCGTAAGACCTTGTCGCGTCCTCCATCGCCCTACCAAATGCTGTCCCTCCGCTGATCGTGTCGTCCATCCTCGCTTTGCCGGTGTTTGTCCTCCGTGTCTTCGCTGCGTGGTCCGAATTCTCCGTTGCTTTCTTGTCAGAAGCGCTCCYCCCCGACGACGGCCGTGCAGGACCGCCACTCGAAGAATTCCCCCCCGCGTTAGCTGGCAGGTTCTCCGACGCCAGCGTCTTGTCGCACTTGATGGAAGCCCGATTCAGTTTCCACTCCATCGCTTCCCACAGAGCTTTCTCAAAGCCTAGTGGAACCTGCTCCGCGTTCCGCTCCTCAAGGGTCATGTTCCAGTAGGAAGGTTTTCCCGAAGCATTCTCACACTTGTCGAGAATCAACTTCGCGGCAGCCATCATGCCCTGCCACTTCTGACGACAATCCTTCGCCGACCTGTGCGGAAACCCCAACTCCTCCATCCGATCGTGCACCCACTCATACCGGTCCTTGCTCCGCTTAAACCGATGCTGCCCATCGACGTCGGCCATAAGGGCGTCGTCCTCGGCCATAATTCTGGACAGCGCGATCCTCTCATCCAAGGACCAGGGGATGTTTTGCTTCTCGATTTTTGCAGCAGCATCTTTCCCCCCCCGCTTGTTTGCACGCTTGCTGGTTTGGGGCCCCACTTCATTCTCGCCCCCATCTCTCTGCCCGACAGTAGCACTGTCCCTCTCCTCCTGCGCGTTGTCCGAGTTTCGCCCATCAACGTCACCGCCATCACCTTCAACTTCATCGTCGCCAACGAAGTCGTCTTCCTCGCCACCAAAGGAAGGACCTTGCAAGCCGGCAGGAGATGGAGCACGACTATGGACAGGCCACCCCTCGTCCATATCCTCTCGTTGAACTTCTGCCAACGAAGGTGAGGCCTCGGCAGCAGACCGCAGCACCGACATGGGCGAGGGAGCTGACAACCCGCCATGCACCGGCATGGGCTGCAACGGTTGTCGGCACTGTGGGGACCACTGCCACTCGTCCCTCATCACTCCGCCCCTTTCCAGAGTATGTTGGGCGGGGTACACGTGCGGCGCAATGCCATATCCGCCGGCCCCCGGGAACATTTGCGGAGAAGGCATGCCATACCCGCCTCCAACCTGTGTGCAAAACGACGTCTGGCCCGTGTGCACGGCGCCCGCGTGCAGACTTTCTGCAGTGGGTCGAACAACGAACCACCGACGTGCAGCATCCACATGATGGACAAATGGTGAGCCCGCACGAGCAGGAGGCACTTGAATCGGCCCCGCGCGCACAACCTCCTGCATCTGCCCGCCGAAGGATTGCACACTCGACGGCGAAGGCGTGGAGTAGTGGACAGATCCTTGCTGTCGCATGTCCTGGGTCTGGAACCCCCCGCCATTGCCCGCACAGGGATCTGTCGTCGACCGGTACGACTCCATCTGGCTGCGGAAGCTTTACACACGGAGGCCAGGGAACCTGCAAACACGCAATGCGCCCTCGAACAACAAGGCTGCGCTGCTTACCTCCACCGACGACAGCACAAGTACACGATTGCGCACCAGAAAACAACGGACAACACAAACGCTGCGGAAAGGAGGATAACGGCAAGCAGGACAGCGGTAACAGCCAAAGATGGTTGTTTTTGTCGACCGCAGCCGCCGCAGTGGTTGTTTATGACAACATCCACTGAACAGTGACGATGGCAGCTGCCACATCCACACGGCTGACCACAACGTTCGACAACCGACACGTGGCGAGTGTTTGGATGAGGACTTATGATGACATCGTCCCGTGCATCCCACCCGTGGCCACATGAGCTGGTGTTGCTCTCCGACGAGGACAAATGACCGCCCTGCCGAGGCAGACGAAGAAGGGAGGATGGCAAGAGAGGCACACGACGGAGCAAGGCGTGTGCAATGGCGACGACACGGGAGGTCAGCATTGGACGACACGTGTGCGCGCGGGCAGATAGCGAGAGCGCCGTGGCCGGGTTGTGCATTTTGCAGACATTGCTCGGCACAACGCCTACGACTTCGAAATGGAAGCCCCGAATGGAGAACGCCTGCCGACGCCACCAGAGATGGCTTCCCCGTTGGCAGGCCAGGGAACCTGCACGCGCGAAGGAGATGAGCGATGGCATAATGCCCGTGAGAAACGACGGAGGGTTTAATGGATGTGTCGACGACGACGACATGAGGGTGTCACTGCCGATGCTTCTGCCATTGAAGTCAGTGGGCACGAAGCGACTGCATGGATGACCTACGTCCCGAGCCCGCAAAAAAAAATCAAATTTGAAATACTTCGTCTTGCCGTTCGCAGTCCGAGGGTAGCATGGAGGGCCCAGACCCCCCCGGGCCCCGGTGGGAACCGTGCGACGCAAGAAAATGAAAACCGTGTCCGCTTGGAAGCACTGGTCTAGGAAACGGTCCACGGCTACGGTCCGTGGTTCGCGCCGTCCAGTCGTTTTCTGGAAACTCGTTTCCATGCCCCCCCCCCTACTCATTTGGAGCCGTCCTTGGAAACTGTTTGGAAACTCGTTGCCACAAATTTCCTGATGAAAGACAATTCCTCGGAAAGAAGTTTCCAGGCCGCCGGCCAGTGGGATCCAAGCCTAAGGGTCTGATCCGACACTGCATACGGTAGGTAAAAAAGTGCAATATCGCGGATCCCACAGTGTTCCGAAGCCGTCGGCGGTCCCGTGAACTTAGGACGCAAGTAGAAACATTTGCCGTCGTGGCGGGCTGGGAATGAACTGCACCGAAAAAGATGTACGGGAAATGGCCGAAAACGCAAGAGAGCTCGGCCCGTACCCTTCCGCGAAAAAGAAGGGGTACTTTTTTTTTTTTTTTTTTTTTTTTTTTTTTTTTTTGTCCGTTTGGGTGGGGTGGTTTGTCCTTGGTCCGGTTCGCTGTGTGGCACGGCAGCCCCCCGCGGGTGTCCCGAATTGCAGGTTTTGGGAATGTGGGAGGTTTTGGGAATGTGCGACCAGTCCCGTTGTAAGGAAACCAGGGGAGGGGCTACCTACTGTTCGCTGAAGCCATGGGCTACGGCGCCTGTCACTTCGCCGCGCCCGCTCCGAGGTCCTCGGCGACCAGCAGGGTGAAAGGGCCAATCAAGTTCAAGATCTGTCAGGCCCCGTCGTCGCACAGCGCTCTTCAGCAATTAGGGAGAGTACGATAGAATGCTAATTATTTAAATAAGATTAAAGAAATAAATAAGAATAATAAATAAATAAAATATAAAAAAAAAGACTAGCAAAACTGTGGCTCTCTCTCCATCCCTCTTTCAGTCCTTGTCCTTCTCTCTCTGCGTGTGCCTGCTCCCCCTCTCTTTCTCTCTCCCTTTCAGTCCCTGCCCTTCTCTCTCTGCGTGTGCCCGCTCTCTCTCTCTTTCTCTCTCTCTCTCAGTCTTTCCCTCCCTTGAACGTTCGTACACTGAATGAACTTCAACCACCGTCACGTCCGGACACATCAACCAACCGACGACCAACAAGCTACTAGACGAAGTCCTATTGAGCGCGTGCCAGGTGAAAGGGCATTCTTGGAATTTGTGA